CCCAAAAAAAAAAAAATCTCTACTGATTTATTTGACATAAACTAAATAAAGTTGTTCACTTTAGAATTTTTAGCCATGTAAACGCAGTAGTCATGTAATGGCAATACCAAAATTTTCAAATACTTATATTTTTTTGGCTTCAAATCTTCTCTTTATTTTTTGTTGTTCATTTCAAACCTATTATGTATTTTCTTTGATTGATTGATTATTTTCTGTCATTTTTTAGTTTAAATAAATGTTTTAAAAAATTCGGACTAAAGCGTAGTTTTTGTTTTAAAAATACAAATTCCATTTTACTCCAAAGAGGTCATTTTTAGTCCGGTAAAGTATATTTGGTATGGATGCTTCAAATTAAGATGTTTGCCATTTTCACCATCGAAATTTATTTTACCAAAAAGTAATTACATCCAGACGTAGCTTACAAGCCCCAAGGTATGATTGACCTAACTAGTTTTAGTGTACGTGCGTTGCACATGTAATTTAACTTATTTGTCAAGTGTAACAAATTTTATAGCTGAAAATTAGAAGACTAACTTAAATTGCTATTTTGTCTAGTGGTGAATTAAGGTGACTAATTTACTATTCTACAAGCAAATGATATTACCTCACATGTAATTACTCTAGTATATTTTCTTTATACAACCAAAAAGGCAGTCTAAAAGTCTGGTGCAAAGAAGCTAAACTAATCCAATTTTGCCTTAAATTGTTGGTGCAAAGAAGCTAAACTAATCTAATTTTGCCTTAAACTGCTGGTGCAAAGAAGCTAAAACAACCTACTTTGTCACTCCCTCTCAGGTCCCTTCCTAAAGAATCAAAGGAGGTTGATGTTGGCATCAAAAGGTACCATCCCCAATTTTGCTTGCTCATTTCTCATAAAGAAACTATATATCTAGCTTTCTTATCAAACACATCAAAGACATGGACGTAGTCACCAAATTCTGGTGAATAATAGGATATGGGAAGTAAGTGAATGCTATTTTCCAGTATAAACGAGTCGCAACCTCTCTATATAGATGCAAATATTTATATATATATGCAAAACCTATCTATTATACAATATGAATTGCAAGATACCAATCACACTATGACCTTTGAGATACTAATATTCCCATCAGTTCTTGTAGGGAATGGGAAGTGTATGGTTTTTGACTCACTTAGTTTCGGAGTGTAAAAGTGATGATGATGGCTTATCAACATTCTTTGCAGAAGCCGAAGACTGGAAACCTGCAGTTTGGAATGATGATGATGAAGAGGGAGCTGGGGCTGAGGCTGCAAAGGTTGAAAAAGCGCTTGTGCTACTGGCGTTTAAGCTAGTTCCAGTAAAGGACCCTTCAGTAGCCCTAGGTGCAGGTGGCCGATCAATCTCAGTAACGCCTTCTAACATCTGAACCACCTTGCCCATTGTTGGTCTTTGAGATGGTTGCTCTTGGATGCACCAAAAGCTCACCTGAATTGCTCTCATAACTTGTTCCATGTCCATCTCTTGTTTGGAGAGCTTTTTGTCCAAAATGGCCTCTGTATTACCCCTTTCAAATTCTTCAAATGCCCACGAAGAGTACTTTTTCCGGCTAGTCTCTTCTGAGACTTCGAAATTTCTTTTTCCACTCACTATTTCCAGTAACACCATACCATAACTGTACACATCGGATTTGGATGTTATAGGAAGATTAGCCAGCCACTCAGGAGCTAAGTATCCTCTAGTACCCCTCACATGACTTGTCAAGGTTCTATGCCTGTGGTCCTTTGGGTTAACGAGCTTCGCAAGGCCAAAATCTGATACTTTGGCAGTGTAATTCTCCTCCAACAATATGTTCTCAGGCTTTATATCACAGTGAACTATACAATCTCGACATTCCTCATGAAGGTATGTGATACCTCTTGCTGTCCCCAAAGCAATATTATACCGGTGCTCCCAGTTCAAAAGCTTTCCTGACGAATGATCTTCCGCAAAGAGGAACTTATCAAGAGAACCATTTTTCATGAACTCGTACACCAGTAGCCTGTGGCGTCCTTCAGAACAAAACCCAATTAATCTCACCAAATTCAAATGGTGTGTGCTACTTATAGTTGCAACCTCCATTCTGAATTGCTTCTCGCCTTGCTCTATTCCTTCCAGTTGCTTCACTGCAGCAACAGTCTTATTAGCCAGAACTGCCCGATAAACAGTCCCAAATCCTCCTGCACCAAGCTTCTCCTTAAACCCCTTTGTTGTCCGCTGAAGCTCCTTGTATGTGAACTGCACAGGAGCACCAGAGGCATATTCAAGAAGGGCATATTGAGACGACAGTGATGCAAATTTAGAACTGTTCCTAAAGCACCACCACCACAAACCACCCTCCAACAACATCAAACCCAAGAGACTAGCCACAACCACAAGCGCAACAACCCAGCCAGGAACCCTCCCTCCATTTTTCTTTTGAACAGTCTCTGAAACCGCAGAAGGATTAGGCAATGCAGGCCCACATATCTTAACAAATGAAGTGCTCGGGAGGGTTGGCGCCTGATAACCACTAACGAAGTTGGGCTGTTTAAAATAACACATCCCTGTACCATCTGCTAAAGAAGTAGAAGCTACACAAGCACCATTAACAAGACAGTTAAACCTACACGCAGAAATACCAGCAGAAAAAATCTGCTCAGACAATTCCGGAGGATAAGTCAAGAACTTAGCATTATCCAACTGCAACATAGTCGAATTGGAAGGACAATTACTAAGATCAACTTTCCTCTTACACCCATTACGACTATCATTCGGATCATTAAAGTCGAAATTCATTGAAGGACATCCACAAGAAGGACCAGTCTCATTATAACTACAAACCCCAAAATTCCCACAATATCCAAAGACCTGACACTGATCAGTCAAAGCAGCCCATCTCACATTTTGAGTCCCACTCCCTTGAGTTGAACTATAAATCCTAAGATTCCCATCACTATCCAACTTCAAGAACCTCAAAATATTCCCTTCATCAGCATAATCACTACTATAAACAACATTTAAAGGACTTGAAAGGCTAGGATCAAAAAGTGAAAGAATCCCAATAGGCTGCATTCTCAAACTAGGAGAAGTCAAGTTCACATTAGCAGAAGAATTCAACCCAGAATTATAATATACTATAGAGTCATTCCAGAAAAGCGACAAGTTCCCATTATTCCTAAGCCTAAAAGAATACAACCCAGATGTCAAAACATGATCTTTAGTGAAATTCTGAGAAGGTACAATAGTATCAGTTGGGTTATCAAAAGTAGACCAAATGTTTAAAAAGGTACCATTTTTAAGCACAAGATTACCATTTTCGTCCAAAGAAGCCGAGGAAACACCAAGATTTGCAGTTCTTGAGCTCCACACAACAGTACCTGAAGGTCCATTTGTGAGCACAAGGTCACCGTTGGACAAGAACCGGAGTGCGGCGGAGGAATCAACTGCACCGCCGTTGACGGTAGAGCCGCCGGCTGTCCAAATGGGTATGCTGTTGTAAGAAATGGAAGCAAAATAGGTGTTTTGGTTTGTGCGGTCCAGTTGTAAGAAGGAAAGAGTGAAGGCGTTGTTTGGAGAGGACCATTTCGAGTTTGGGTCTGAAGCTAAAAGGGTTGCACCAGGAAGAATATCTGCAGCTTCTACGGTGATGATAATAATAGTGAAAATAAAGAATAGTGCTTTCATTTTTCAATANCGAAGAAGACAAGGGAAGGTTGGAAAGAAGAGGAGACGACTTTGACTTGTGGGTTTTACATTTCTTAATGGCCAAATATACAGGCGCACCTTAAACCGGTTCCAGTTCTCATTTTCACATGTTAACTTATCCCTTTTATTATTGATCACTTTAACTCTATTTTGATCTGCACCATTTAAATACAATGCATGACTGGTCAAAAGAGCATTATGTTCACACATAGTAAGTGCATAAATATTATTAATATTTGTTTAGGTGAATATTGCAAAGGTAAAAATCGTTAGACCAACTTCAAAACACCCGATTTTTCTATTATTTCTCTCAAAAAAGCCCTAATTCCTCTTTCGTCTTCTTCCCCTTTCAAAGTCGCCATTTTTTCCTTCAACTGAAGCATAAGTGCCTCGGCTTGAATCTTTATCTGATTTCTTCCTCATCTTTCTCGTTTATCAGTTCTATGTCACAAAAATCAACAACTCCATGCAATGGAATGGATATTTGTCACTGTGGATTGAATGCGCCACTGACTATATCATGGTTACCTGCAAACCCAGGTCGTCGATTTTATGGTTGTAAATTGGTAAGTCGATCGTATTGCTTAGACTCTTGAATTTCTTAAAAAAGAAATATGTTTTTAATTTTTTTGGCCACATTTCTTTGTTAATTTTGTAGGGTCGAGGTGGATGCAAATACTTCAGATGGCATGATGATGAAATGTCCGACCAAGCTAAGAGGGTTATAAAGGGTCTGTTGAAGAGAGTCGAAAGAACTGAAAAAATAGTTGCGCGGTTGAAATGGTTATTTGTTGTTGTGGTGGTGTTGTTGTTTCTATGTATTTGGCTTTGCTGATGCTGGTGGTTTGAAGAACAATGTAGTATTTTTATGATATGCTGGTGATAATGGTGTTGTAGTTGTTGCTATTAGTTTAAGAACAATGTAGTATTTTTATGATATGCTGGTGATAATGGTGTTGTAGTTGTTGCTATTAGTTTAAGAACAATGTAGTATGTTGGAAGTGGGTACTAGAAATTTGGCCTTTAGTCAATGTACACTATCTTGCTATGAATGAAATGGCAATGACCAATTTTTGATGCAAATTGGAGTTCATCTGCACTTCCATATTGTGTTTTGAATGAAGTACAAATTCATATTCATGAACTGAAACCATAATTGCCCAAACATATTCATGAATTGAAAACATAACTGCCCAAACATTCAATTGCATAATGTGATGAACTAGCATTACATCTGTGATGACCCGATAGGTCATCTTATATTTTAGAATCAAATTCTGTGTTTCGAGGTCTCAAAAACCTCATTTTAGCCTTTTTTGATTTGCGTGCGCAATCTGGGTATTCTTCCGGAAGGCTTATATGTTAAAAATTGATAAAAATAAAAAAATTTACCTTAAAAATTAATTTGAAATGACTTCGGTCAATATTTTGAGTAAACGGACTCGGATCCGTATTTTGACGGTCGCGTTGGAATCGTATCGAAATATGGGACCTGGGCGTATGTCGGAAATCGAATTCAGAGGTCCCTAACTCGAGTTATGAATTTTTGTTGAAAATTGAAAATTTGGAAGTTTAATGATTTTTAGAATTGACTGATATTTGATCTTGTTGATACCGGGTCCGTATTTTAGTTTTGGAGCCCGGTACAGGTCCACTATAATATTTATGACCTGTCTGTCGAATTTGGTGAGAAACGAAGTTGATTTGACGTGATTCGGACGTTCGGTTGTGAAAATAGAAGTTTTAAAGTTTTCTTGAAAATTCCATTTGATTTGGTGTCTGATTCGTAGTTCTAGGCATCATTTTGGTGTTTTGATCGCGCGAGAGAGTTCGTATGATGTTCTAGGACTTGTGTGCATGTTTGGTTTGGAGCCCCGAGGGCTCGGCTGAGTTTCAGATAGGCTACGGGATGATTTGAATTTAGAAATTCTATTTTTTCTGCAGTTTTAGGTGCCTTCTGGTTTACTTCTTCGAGTTCGCGAAGACACTCTCGCGAACGCGATGTGTGAACTGGGATGGGTGGATTTTTCTCCTACGCGAACGCAATACTACTGTCGTGAACGCAGAGCATTAGGGGGGATTATTTTACGTGAACGCGAATTGTCACACGCAAACGCGTAACAATAGGCAGGTTGGTAAGGGAAATCGGGGGTGACTCTATGCGAACGCGAGTCCTATCTCGCGAAAGCGAAGGTGAGGCGGGCTATACCTTCGCGAACACGTTGAGTCTTCCGCAATCACGGAAGCCATTAAGGCGCATCTCTTCACGAATGCTACCGTATTCACGCGAACGCGATGAACACTGTCGCCCAGTTATTCAAAACAGAACCTAAAACGGGATTTTGCCATTCTTTCAAAAATTTCAAAACTAAAAGACCTAGAGGCGATTTTCCTAAAATATTTTCTTCCCCAATTTGTTTGTAAGTGATTCTAACCTACTTTCTTTTAATTACCCATTACATTTCATGAGTTTTCAACCAAAAAATCTAGGATTTTCATGGTGAAAATTGGGATTTTGGGTAGAATTAGTTTTTTTTTTAATAATTGGAATTTAGACCTCGAATTGAGGTCGTATTTCGAAACAAATTATATAATCGGGCTCGGGGTGAATGGGTAAATGAATTTTGGTCCGAACCTCGGATTTTGACCAAGCAGGCCCGGGGTCGATTTTTGACTTTTTGGGAGAAAGTTTGGGGAATATAAATTTATGCATTGTAATTAATTTCTTTAGCAATATTTGATATTATTGAGTCATTTGTGGATAGATACGAGTGGTTTGGAGGTGGATTCTAGAGGAAAAGCGATAATTAAGTATTGAGTGGCCTTTGGAGCGAGGTAAGTGTTGTGTCTAACCTTCACTTGAGGGAATAAGACTTGTTTGTCTATTTGCTACATGTTTAAATGTTGGGGAACAACGTATATGTGAGGTGACGAGTACTTATGCGTTGTAGTCGGGTTAAAATATGCGGGCGGGGCTTGGTTTCTTGCAATTATAGCTTTCTTTGTTCATGTTATCCATGTTTAGACTAGTATTGTTAAATTTATCGTTCTTATCATGTTTACGGATCTTCTGGTGATAATTGAGTATTGATTCCAAAGTTGAGGTTGATATTGTGGAACCAAATGTTGGAGTAAGGCTTGTACTTGTTATTCTATCTCCCTGTTGTTATTTGTTCATTGCATTATGGTAAGGGAGAGTGTTAATGCAAGAAGGGTGATTCTGTGCCATATTGTGAGTGGTAATGCACGAAGGGTGATGTCGTGTCATATTATGAGTGTTAATGCACGAAGGGTGATGTCGTACCATATTGTGAGTATTAATGCACGACAGGTGATGCTGTGCCATGTTATGAGAGTTAATGTACGAAGAGTGATGCCATGTCGTTCCTATTAATCTTATGGGGAGGTTGAGAGTAAAAGCATGAAGGGTGATGCCGTGTATTTTTCCTTTACTGTATTTACTTGTTCTTATCGATTCATAGTACATTGACTGTTCAAATTACCATTCTGCTATAGTTCTCTATCTCGTATTCCCCTCAGCATGTTTTCCCTCCCAATAGTACATGTTTAGATGCTATTATTGTTTTTCTTGTACATATACTATTATCTGCATAGGTTTATTATGTGGGTGTCTTGTCATAGCTTCATCACTACTTCGTCGAGGAGGTTAGGCTCGACATTTATCAGTACATGGGGTCGGTTGTACTGATATTATACAGATTTTGGTACCGGTCCTAGTTGATGTAAGGCTTAGCATCTTGGATTTGCTGTCAGGAGACCCAAGGTAGATCTGCTGGCATCCGCAGACCCTGGAGTCTCTTCCTAGTTTTATCATTTACTGTTTCCTTACTTCAAAACATTGTATTGTTTTCCTTTTCAGACTGTTTGTAGTAAATCATAGTAGCTCGTGACTTGTGACTCCAGATCCGGGTGTTAGTAATTAATGAAGTTTTTATTATTTATTATTCTGCATTCGTTGTATTCCATTTTAGCTTATTTGCTATTATTTACTAAATTGAATAAGGATTGGCTTTATAATTCTCTAATGTCGGCTTGCCTAGCAAGTGGAATGTTAGGCGTCATCACAGTCCCGACGGTGGGAATTCTGGTTCGTGACAAGTTGGTATTATAGCACTAGGTTGCCTAGGTCTCACAATTCACGAGCAGGCTTAGTAGAGTCTGGAGGATCGGTACAGAGACGTCTGTGCTTATATTTTAGAGGCTATGAAGTTTAGGAACAAATTTTACTTCTATTCTTCTCTGTCGTGCGATTTTTGTTCTCTCAATGCTAATTGAACTCTTCTACTCTTATTCTCTCGCAGATGGCGAGGACACGTACCGCATCTTCCACTGATCAGTAGCCAGAGCCTCCAGTGGCAGCTCCTACGAGGGCCAGAGGTCAAGGCAGGGGAAGAGCTCAGCCCGGAGCTCGAGCAACAACACCAGCACTAGCGGTGAAGCCTCAGGTAGAGTTTGATGAGGAGGTTCCAGCCTAGACTGTTCCTGTCGGACCAGCTCAGGTCCCAGAGGTGTTTATTGCCACCCTAGTGCTTCAGGATACTTTGGTCCGTTTGATGGGCTTTATGGAGAGTGTGGACCAGACTGGTGCATTCCCCATGGCACTAGCCGTCTCTCAGGCTGGAGGAGGAGCACAAACTCCTGCTACTCACACTCCGGAGCAGATGGCTCCCCAGTATCAGACTCCAGCCGCTCATCCAGTCAGAGTAGTTCAATCGGTTGTTGCGGCACATACCGGTGATGGGTCAGTTATGTCTTTTGAGGCTTTATGGAGATTGGACAGGTTTATCAAGCTCTTTCCAGTTCACTTCAGTGATGCTTCTTTAGAGGATCCCCAGGAGTATCTTGACAGTTGTCACAAGGTGCTACGGAACATGGGTATAGTGGAGACAAATGGGGTCAATTTTACTGCATTTCAGATGACTGGTTCCGCCAAGAAATGGAGGAGAGATTATTTGTTGACC